TGAATTTTTCTCATTATACACTTGATTGTAAATAACAATAAACATACCTGGGGGAGGGAATTTTCCCATAGGGCGATTCAATAGTGAACGATTTCAAAAGGACCACAGCATCAATGACTTAAAGGAAACATCCAAATGTTCGATTGCTTTGGACCGCACTTAATAGACTTAGCACCTAAGGAAAAAAGGTGTCTATACTGGGTATTGTAACTTAAACAAAAATCAGAACATGTACCCCACACTTTCTTTCTTTCTTTTTTTTTTGAGGCGGCGGTTTCACTCTGTCACGCCGAGGCCGGAATATAATGGTGTGATCTCAGCTCACTGCAACCTCCACCTCCCAGTCAAGCAACTGCTCCTGCTTCAGCGTCCCAAAGTACGCTGGAGGGTTAAAGGCACCTGCCACCACGGCCAGCTAATTTTTGTATTTTTAGTAAAAGAGTGGTTCACCCATGTTGAGCCAGGCCTGGTCCTTCGACTCCTACCCTCAGCTGATCGCACGTCTTGACCTTACCAAAGTGTTGGGGATTACAGGGCGTGAGCCACTTGCACCCAACCATTCTTTCCTTCTTTGAATTTCTTTTTTTTTTAAATCTCAATATTGATTTTGATGTAAGAACACATACACTAATAGTATAAAAATAGAATGAGTCCGTGATGAAACTACATGTTCACCAAGGAGCTGTAGAGAGCCAAACGAGGGACAGGCAGACCACCAAGGAGGTACATGCAGGGGGTCCCCTTAGAGGGGCGAGGCACTCAAGGCACAGCTGTAGCTGCTGGCACCAAGCTCGGAAGGCTAGGGCTTCTACCTACCAACTTAAAAAAAATTTTCCTTTATTATTGCCTGGCTTAAAATTTTTTTGTCCCCAACACAAACTGAATTGAGTATAGAACAGTACGACAAGTAGAGAATCTCTGGGTGTCTGTTGTATGACGAGGCAACGGCACACATTCTGCATTAACCCTGCCGGCTGGAGCACAGTGTGCAGAGACAGAGGCAGGGACCATGCTGGAGCTTGGCTTGGGCGCCACCCCACAGCCTGTTTGAATCCCATCTGCTGTTTCCTGCTTGGTGTATCCCTGCAAGTCCACTTGCATTCTTTGCAGCTTTGGGGCTTCCATGTGTAACTGAGGAAACACACAAAACCTTCTAGGTGCTGTGAGATAATGGGGGTTGATCCGTGCTGGGTTGCAACAAGTGGTAAACACCAATCAAGTAGGTAATAAAGGTACCATGAAGGTACTTACCAAGGAAGTAAGCATCATTATTGCTCATCCTGGGATTATGCCAGAGAGATGCTGTTAATCTAGGACATCGATTCCTGCACAACGCCATGGTCTTGCCTGAGAACAGGTATTTTTGTGAAACCTCAGCTAAGTGAAATCCAATAAAACCATGAACCAAAGTCCAGTTCAGATACTTGAAGTAGATTCCCATGCTTTGAAATCTTAGCTCTATCACTTACTGTAGGGACCTAAAAGTGCAGAATCTCCAGTTCTTTTTCGTCCTCTGTAAAACTGGGAAAGTGATGATATATGACATCTATCACTAAGTTGGGATTATTGTAAAGATAATGAAATATAAGCAGAAAAGCCCATTTACACATCAAAAGATGCCTCAATACATTTACTATATTCTTCATTTTATTTTGTTATTTTGAGATGGGAGCTCCAACTCTGTCGCCCAGGCTGAGTGTAGTAAGGCAACTCTGGGGCTAACCGCAACTCCGCCTCCAGTTCAATTGCCTTCTCCTGCCTCAGCTCCCAAGTAGCTGGGACTACAGGTGCCACCCATCACGCCCGGCTAATTATGTATTTTCTAGCAGGGGTTTCACCGTGTTAGCCAGATGTTCCGATGCTCCTCCAAGGCAGTCCCCCTGACGGAGGAGGAAACCCACATGGAGACGAGGATTTCCAATGCTTCACAATTGGTTTTGTAATAAGTGCCCTGGAGTCTCTCTCTCTTCAGGAAATAACCACCTTTGTTTATCAGTGCAAGGCCCTTCTGCTCTTTAACATACTGGTATCAGTGAGGGCATCATTCAGTATTTATTTCCAGATTCCTAACACCTGAAGCCTGCAGAGCCAGATTCTGTCCATCCCTCCCTTTTTCCATGGTCTGTGCTGGCATGGTTAAGAAGAGGGATTTCGGCCAGGCGCGGTGGCACACACCTGTAATCCCAGCACTTTGGGAGGCCGTGGTGGGCGAATCACGAGGTCAGGAGTTCAAGACCAGCCTGGCCAACATGGTGAAACCCCGTCACTACTAAAAATACAAAAAATCAGCTGGGCGTAGTGTTGGGCACCTGTAATCCCAGCTACTCGGGAGGCTGAGGCAGGAGAATCACTTGAACCCAGGAGGCCAAGGTTGCAGTGAGCTGAGATCACTGTCTGCCCTGGCGACAGAGTCATTTATGATGTGTAAATGGGCTTTTCATAGATTATTTCATTTATCTTTACAATAATCCCATGTGATAGATGTTAATATTATCATCACTATTCCCAGTTTACAGAGGAGGAAACTGAGAGATTCTGCAACTTTTTGAGGTCCCACAGTAAGTGATAGAGCTAAGATTCAAAGCCAGGAAATCTAACTTCAAAGTATCTGAACTGGAATTGGTTACACTGGTTTTATTGAATTTAATAAGCTGAGAGTTTCACAAAAATAACTGTTCTCAGGCAAAGACCATGGCTTAGTGCAGAGCGCATGTTCTAGATCTAACAGCATCCTCTTCCTGGCATATCCCAGGATGACAATAATGATGCTTACCTTCATTGGTAAGTACCATTCATTGGTACCTTTATTACCATACTTGATTGGTGTTTACACTGTGCCAAGCCCACAGATCAACCCATTTAATCCTCACAGCAACCTAGGAAGGTTTTGTTGTTTCCTCAGTTTACACATGGAAGCACCAAAGCTGCACAAAGACAGCAAGTGACTTGCCAGGATCACACCAAGCAGAAAACAGCAGATGCGGGATTCAAACCAGGGCTGTGGGGTGCCCAAGCCAAGCTCCAGCCATGGTCCTGCCTGCTGTCTCTGCACACTGCTGCTCCAGGCAGGCAGGGGGTAATGCAGGAATGTGTGCCGTTGCCTCGCATACAACAGACACCCAGGAGATTCTCTACTGTCCTTACTGTTCTTACTCCAATTTCTAGTTTGTGTTGGGGACCAAAAAAATTTTAAGCCAAGGCATAATAAAGGCAAAAATTTTTTTTTAAGTGGTAGGTAGAAGCCCCTAGCCTTCCAGGGTGCCAGAGTAACAGCCTGTGCCTGAGTCCCTGCCTTCCTCAAGGGGACCCTGCATGTCCCCTTGGGCTGGGTCTGCCTGTCCCCGGTCAGTTGGCCTCACCAGCTCCTTGTGAGAAATGTAGTTTCATCACGAACTCATTCTATATTTTATACTATGTGTATGTGTTACTTATTCAAAATAAATAATTGAAATTAAAAAAAAAAGAAATCAAAAGAAGAAAGAATGGTCTGGGTGCAGTGGCTCACGCCTGTAATCCCAACACTTTGGAAGGTCAAGACGTGCAGATCAGCTGAGGTTAGGAGTCGAAGACCAGCCTGGCCAACATGGTGAAACCCCATCTCTACTAAAAATACAAAAATTAGCTGGCCGTGGTGGCAGGTGCCTTTAACCCCAGCTACTTGGGACGCTAAGGCAGGAGCATTGCTTGAACCTGGGAGGTGGAGGTTGCAGTGAGCTGAGATCACACCATTATATTCCAGCCTGGGTGACAAGAGTGAAACGCCGCCTCAAAAAAAAAAAGAAAAGAAAAGAAAGTGTGGGATCACATGTTCATGACTTTTTGTTTAAGCTTAAATACCCAAGTAAGAACCACATATCTTCTTCCTTAGGTGCTAAGTTCCCTATTAAGTGGACGGCTCCAGAAGCAATCAACTTTGGATGTTTCACTATTAAGTCTGATGTGTGGTCCTTTGGAATCCTCCTATACGAAATCGTCACCTATGGGAAAATTCCCTACCCAGGTATGGTTTACTTAGTTATTTACAATCAAGTGGTATAAATGAGAAAAATTCAGGTTGCATGAAGGCATTAAAAAGTAATAATAACTTCATCTACCCGATAGCAAAGAATAAGTGCTTTGAGCCAGAACTTGATTGTCATGGGCCGGGAGTTCGGTGGAATCATGCCTGTAATCCCAGCACTTTGGGAGGCCAAGGCAGGCGGCCATCACCTGAGGTCAGGAGTCTGAGACCCAGCTGACCAACATGGAGAAACCCCCGTCTCTAACTAAAAGTAACAAAATTAGCCAGAGCATCGGTGGCGCCACGCCTGTAATGGCACAGCTATCGGGAGGCTGAGGCAGGAGAATTGCTTGACGGGAGGTGGAGGTGTAGTCGAGCTGAGATCCGCTCATTGTACTCCAGCTTGGCAACAGAGTGCAGATCTGTCTCAAAAAAAAAAAAAAAAAAAAAAAAAAAAAAAAGGAACTTGATTTTTATTTTCACTATCTTTAGCATAAATTGTTCTAAAAGTGCTTAGACACTTCTTTGCCTTCTTATTTTATTGAATGTGTGTTCTTTTTCTGCACTGATTAATTCCACCACATACTAGAATGTTCCTGGCATGGTTGTTGGTATTGAGATGAGGATGGATAGACACAGGAGCTCCTCCAAGGCAGTCCCCCTGACGGAGGAGGAAACCCACATGGAGACGAGGATTTCCAATGCTTCACAATTGGTTTTGTAATAAGTGCCCTGGAGTCTCTCTCTCTTCAGGAAATAACCACCTTTGTTTATCAGTGCAAGGCCCTTCTGCTCTTTAACATACTGGTATCAGTGAGGGCATCATTCAGTATTTATTTCCAGATTCCTAACACCTGAAGCCTGCAGAGCCAGATTCTGTCCATCCCTCCCTTTTTCCATGGTCTGTGCTGGCATGGTTAAGAAGAGGGATTTCGGCCAGGCGCGGTGGCACACACCTGTAATCCCAGCACTTTGGGAGGCCGTGGTGGGCGAATCACGAGGTCAGGAGTTCAAGACCAGCCTGGCCAACATGGTGAAACCCCGTCACTACTAAAAATACAAAAAATCAGCTGGGCGTAGTGTTGGGCACCTGTAATCCCAGCTACTCGGGAGGCTGAGGCAGGAGAATCACTTGAACCCAGGAGGCCAAGGTTGCAGTGAGCTGAGATCACTGTCTGCCCTGGCGACAGAGTAAGACGCCGTCTCAAAAAAACAAAAAAACAAAAAAAACCAAGAAGAGGGATTTCTCCCAGAGCTTTCATATTTTCATTCATGTTTGACTATTAACAAAATGTTTGCATGAGGGGAATTTAAAATTAAGTTTTTAATATTTAAATCATTCTCCTCTTCAAAAAATATTTGAGTGTGCTAGGTACTCTCAGCTGCTAGGATGCCATGGTATCTGCCCATGTCCTTCAGAGTGAATGCTGTAGTGGAGAGAGACTGATGGTTGTCAAACACACAGCCAACCTGTAGGATGGTGAGAGTGGTGTGGAGCCTGCATGGAGTGGCTTAGGGATTGGCAAGTACTCACAGAAGGGGGTGGGGAGCTGCTGGTTTTATTCCATGGTCCTGGCAGCAGCAGGGACTCAGAGATGTGACGGAGGGAGCCTTGGGCTCTCTGAGGTCTGCATGTCCCCATGGGGAGAGCAGCCAGAGCATGGACTTGACCAACAGGAGCAGGAGGCCAGCGTGGTTTGGGCCTCTGTGAGTGTTTGATGGATGGATGGGTGAATGAATGAATGAATGAATGACTCACTTAGGCCATTTGATCTCTAGACAGTCAATGGATGAGAAAGCAGAAGGCTATGGAGCTGGGGGTTAGAGTGGCTCAGGGAGAGACTTACTGGCCATGTGAGAGCAGTCCCTCTTACTCTGCTGAGATGCAAGCCAGGGAAGGCTTTTAGACAAAGCAGCCACACAGTCTGCATGCTCCTATCACTACTGCTGCATGTGGGGATGAGCCACAGAGAAACTGGGGCAGGGACCAGCTGGCAGCTGAAAGCCTTTGGGTGGCGTCTGCCTGCACAGTGGACCGGCAGTCCCAGGAAATCCCTTTAGTGCCAGCATTTCATCTTCCAGCTGCTCTAGACACTGAGGTTAATGAATTAATATTGCTACAAAATAGGAAACATATGTCTGATGTTACATATGTCTATCTCCATCTATGCCTACATCTCTTTCTGTAATCTGTAGAGAAAGATTATATAGTCAGATTAGGTATATAATCTGACACCTGATAAAATAAACATATAATATCATAAAAGAATGTTCTGTGATACGTGTGGTGTGCTGCATGTGACGTGCCGCCACGGCCCCTGAGGCTTGAGAAGGTGATTGAACCCCTCGCTGGTGGCAAAGCTGCTCTGAGCCCCAGATCCGTGTGCCTCTCAAGACCCCTCAGCTGATGTGAGCAATGCCCAGGGTTTGGAAATATTTGGGGTGAAAAGTCATTTTTTTAAAAAAAGGACCAGCCAGGCGGGCGGCTCACGCGTGTAATCGTAGCGCTTTGGGAGGCTGAGGCAGGTGGATCACCTGAGGTCAGGAGTTCAAGACCAGCCTGGCCAACATGGCAAAACCCCATCTCTACCAAAAATATAAAAATTAGGCCGGGTGCTGTGGCTCACGCCTGTAATCCCAATACTTTGGGAGGCTAAGGCGGGTGGATCACAAGGTCAGGAGGTCAAGACCATCCTGGCTAATACGGTGAAACCCCGACTCTACTAAAAATACAAAAAATTAGCCAGGGGTGGTGGCAGGCGCCTGTAGTCCTAGCTACTCGGGAGGCTGAGGCAGGAGAACGGCATGAACCTAGGAGGCGGAGCTTGCAGTGAGCTGAGATCGCACCACTGCACTCCAGCCTGGGTGACAGAGTGAGACTGTCTCAAATATATATATATATATAAATAAATAACTAAAAATAAAAATTAGCCAGGCATGGTGGCACACGCCTGTAATCCCAGCTACTCAGGAGGCTGAGGAAGGAGAATCACTTGAACCCAGGAGGTAGAGGTTGCAGTGAGCCAAGATCGTGCCACTGCACTCTAGCCTACGTGACGGGAGCGAGACTCCATCTCAAAAATAAAATAAAATAATAAAAAAAGAACCAGTAGAAAAATGGTCAGAATCACAAAAATATATTTCTCTCTATATGGAAGAACCCACCAGAATCCATCGACTGGTCTGTTCCCTGATTGGCTTGTCCCTGGAGGGACTGGGAATGTGAGATGTCTTGAGGAGATCTGGATCAGTAAATTTTTTAGGCACGAGAGTTGTATGTTACAAGAGCCTCTACCATTACCTTTATAAACATAAGCAATCCTATTTACTTCACATGAGAGGACTTGATTCATAGAGAGCATAGAAATTGGTAAACATTGCCAAAACATGCCATTTTCCACACTGTCGTAAAACTGCGTATGGGAGAGAATCTACTGATTAATGGAATTATCTGAAAGTATTTTCTTTACCCAGTAAACTGCTGGCTATGTTTTGTTTGTTTTTAAAGTACTTTAGAAGCTATACAGGCCAGGTATGGTGGCTGATGCCTGTAATCCCAACTTGGGTGGATCACTTGAGGCCAGGAGTTCGAGACCAGTGTGGACAACATGGCAAAACCCTGTCTCTACAAAAAATACAAAAAAGTTTAGCCTGGCGTGGTGGCGAACGCCTGTAATCCTAGCTACTTGAGAAGTTGAGGCAGAGAATCACTTGAATGCTTGAACCCCGGAGACAGAGGCTGTAGTGAGCCGAGAAGCGCCACTGTACTCCAGCCTGAGCGACAAAGCAAGACTCTGTCTCAAAAAAAAAAAAAAAAAGAAGAAGAAGAAGAAGAAGCCATATCATATACTTAGCTTTGTAAAATAAAAAGGAAATAAAAGAAAGCAGGGAAAACAAAAAAGAAAAAAGAAAGTCACATACAAAGCAAACACATTTTTAGAGGAGAAAGAAAGACTAATATAATATACCAAAATGTTGTTAACCTTGGGTCAAGAGATAATAGATTATATAAATTTTCTTCTTGATGAATTTCTGAAATTTCTAATTTTTTTACAGTGATATTTTTATTAAATATTTTATTCTTATCTAAGTAATATATGCACATTTAAAAAGTAGTACAGAAAGACTTTTTTTTTTTTTTTTTTTGAGACAGTCTCGCTCCGTCACCCAGACTGGAGTATAGTGGTGCGATCTCGGCTCACTGCAACCTCCACCTCCTGGGTTCAAACAATCCTCCTGCCTCAACCTCCCAAGTCACTGGGACTACAGGTGTTCACCACCACGCCCAGCTAATTTTTGTATTTTTAGTAGGGATGGGGTTTCACCATATTGGCCAGGCTGGTCTTGAACTCCTGACCTCAGGTGATCCACCCACCTCATCCTCCCTGCAGGGATTACAGGCATGGGCCACCGCACCTGGTCACAAAAAGACTTCTAATGAAAAATTGCCCCACACCTGCAGGTGCTCCTCAAAGGAATCTACTTTCAGGAATTTTGATTCCTTATTCTAGCATTTGCTGCATATAGTTCTAAATATTCTACTCATAACTTTTATCTCTTAAATTTTTTCCACTTATTATTAGATAAGAATATGGCCACATACTTTTATTTTTCATTTATTTGTTTATTTCACAGGGTCTTGCTCTGTCACCTGGGCTGCAGTGGCATGATCATAGCTCACTGCAGCCTTTAACTCCTGAGCTCAAGTGATCCTCCCGCCTAAGCCTCCTGAGTAGCTGGGACTACAGGCGCATGCCACAACACCCAGCTAATTTATAAATTTTTTGTAGAGACAGGGTCTCACTATGTTGCCCAGGCTGGTTTCTAACTCCTGGGTCAAGTGATCCTCCCTCCTCAACCTCCCAAAGTGCTGGAATTACAGGTGTGAGCCACCATGCCTGGCCAGCCATATGGTGTTAAATTCAAGAGATACAAAGAGGTATAAGCTGAAAGATCCTCCACTCTATTCCCAGCCACACAATTCTCTCCCCATAGGCAAC